TTAGCTTCCACTTTTAGCTTCGATTTTAATGCAGTTTTAGTTTCCACTTTAACTCCAGATGTGACAGATTTAACGGGGTTGTTTAATGATTCTAAGGAGACAAACACAAATTAGCTCAAAAAGACGCAGGATTTTTTTTGTTATTTTATAGTAAAATTTTGAATCTTTGAAGCCCTGATTTCTTCTTTTTGTGATTTCGTTGTAGCAAACTCCATTTGGAATAACTTCAGAAGACCATGTTCGATAACCATCGGGGACGAAAACGGATGGCAATTACACAAATACACGGATGTTTTCGTCAACATGTGTTTTCACTTCTGCATAAATTCAATCAGAAGCACATAAAAATTTGACAAAACCAGCTCTGCTTCTTTCAGTGCATTTTAGAACGTAAAGATGATTATGACAGTAAAGAAAAATTCGAAGGCTTAAATTCCATACCTGTGTGTTTGTGTAACTGCCAAACACACAGATACGGAATTTAAGCCTTCGAATTTTTCTGCGCACAGCTGAAAAGATGCTAAAAAACGAAGAATTAGGTAAAAAATGTCTAGAAGTAGACCATGAGATCTATGAAATATAGTCTAGGAAAGTCAGAAAGGACCAATTATATCGGAAGAGCATATGGCTGATCTCGCCGGAAGTATCCTTATAAAAGCCCACAGAAAAGTTACCTTGCGCAGCTGTGCCCGGCCATCTAATTTCGCGACTGCATACTCCAAGTTCAAATGCAATGCGCATACTGTCGACATATATTCGACTTCAGACACCATTTTTGCTCCTGGAAAATACCTTAATTTGGTGATCTTAAGAGCGCTGTCGCAGAAAGGCCAATCTTATCGCAAAAAAAAACCCAGGCTGGAACGCACCAGGTGGGCCCGTGCGATCATGCTTTTTTGCACCGGGCTTTAATTACTCAGGTCATTAACTGTTTGAATGGCTTTTGCTTTACACCTATCTTTTGCGGTCACTAGCATCAATCACCATAAATTTTGCAAAGTAATGTATAATTTTCAATTAACAATCGTTCTTTAAAAGTAACCTAGTTGTTCAGTGAGAAATTTTTTCATCCAGACTTTTAAATGCA